TCTGTCAGAATGATAGAATGCCAACCATAAACTAGTAAATATATTTTTCGATTTTATTATGTCAGAATGACAGAATGCCAACCATAAACTAGTAAATACATTCTGAAAGAATACACAAAATCAATTCATGAACTAATAATATAACAAATAATTACATTGTATGATTGTGATTCATTAAATAATAACAACATTCTGAAAGAAAAAAAAAGCATCAAATGTAACAAAAACACTAATCTATTCTCAAAGAATATTATTTTTAAGCAACACTTTATACATTGTAGCGTAACACATTCTGGTATAATACACTCTCGTTCTATATGTTTTCTTCCTTTTCCACATCAATGTTAGCCTCTTCAAAACCTAAATCCACAAAGAAAACATAATCAAGTTTCAAAAATTAAACAATTCAATGCATTCTAATAGAATAAAAACTATAAATTCTGACAGAATGTATTAAATACTATAAAGTTTGACAGAATATAGTAGAAAAAAAAAACTATAAATTCTGACAGAATGTAGTAGAGACTATAAAGTCAACCATAAAGTATCACAAATTCATTAACAGTTAAACAAATATATTTGTTGTGAGATTGACATTTTGTGTATGTTTGACCTCTAAGCCACTTCAAAATATGCTAGCATTCTATGAGACTGACATTTTGTGAGATTGGCATTCTGTCAGAATTGTATTGTATGAGAATGATTTTATACAAGGAGCTGCAAAAAGGAGATAAACATGAGAATGATTTTATACAACATACATTATAATAAGTAGAATAATTTGAAGTGAACATTTTATCGAACCAACATATTAGATTTCATTCTAACAGAATTGGAATTCATGATTACATTCTGGCAGAATTACCCTCATCATATTAGATACTAAGGCGATTTTGCTACTGCTACTGATTGAAGATTATTCCTTTGGTGCTTAATATTCACGAGGAAGATAAGAGATAAATTTTTCACCAATGCCTTTTTCAAATATCAAATTCTACAAGATAGAATACAAACATGATAAAGTAATTGTTTTATATGTTATCTGAAACTATTCTAAAATTCTATGTGCTTGAAGTCGGATGACTTCACCATCTGATTTTTTGATGTACTGGTAAAATTCAGGTTGAGCAAGTGAATCATTAACTGAAGACTTCACCATCTTTATATGATGGATCTAAAAAAATCAAGAATATAGTATCAAATGGGTAAATAAAATTAGGAAAAATCAAACACTTACATATAGTGTTAGAACAACTTCCATGAAAAAGCCCCTGAATGCAGCTCCAATGGGTTCACTGGTGGTTGAACAGATCGCAAGGAAGGGAGATCTAATCTCCGACAGGCTTCCCTTAGTTCACTATCTCCATCTTCGTCAGCCACCAATCGTGGAAAGGAAAGGAACGGAGGCAGCAATGTTGCCGTCAAGTGGCAGTGACGGCTGCTCCTTCTATCCGACAACAATCACACAGGGAGGGAAAGACTTCGATCCTCAGTTGATCGGAGAAGAAAGAAACACAAAAACAGTCATAAAATGGCCGATGACTCTTAATCGATCGCAAGGAAGGGCTGCAATCGGCGGTGGGAAGTCGCTGAATTTCTTCTCTGTAGTGGTGATGTTCCAGGCAGGAAACGAAGGTGAAGGACTAGGTCAAATATATTTACTTTATTTCCATAATTATAGGATTTCAATTAAATGATTTCCTTAATTAAAAGTACAAAAAATCCAAAATATCATTTAATGAAATATTTAATTATTTATTATTTCTTGAATTCTCATTGGTGCATTTATGCACATAATAGTTGCTAATAATTTGAACCTAGCTCTCTCTCTCTCTCTCTCTCTCT